TTAACAGAGAAAATTTCCTTTCTGAAGCACTGACTTTTTATTGAATAATCATTCTGAATTGTGTATGTTCTGTGCTTTACCAAAAGTGTATAGATGCTGTTTTTATTAATAAAATCCAAATTACTATCACTGACATTTCTTAGTAACATATCATTATTTTCTTGGTTAAGGACTAATTTAACAGTGTAATTACTATTATACGGAGGTCTGAGATTCTTTTTATGTTTAAAAAAAATGGGAGGGGCATCCTTATGCTTGAAAAGGCTTCTCCAGGACTTATTTGTGTTTTTTGGTTTTGGTTTTTTTTTTTTTTTTTAACTCAGCGAAGATGCAGAGAGGCCCTGAAAACTTCTTACTAAACAACACTTATCCTGGAATAGAACTAAATCTTTACAGTAACTTGAATCCAAGTTACCTCCTTGGAGACCCTTCAGAGTAGACTGACATGAACCCTACAATGGCAGGAATTCATCTTATGACCTGCTTCACATGATCCCAGATAGAAGCATGCACAGGGATATGAGGGGCAATGATATTTTACCTAACATGACCTGAAACATTTGCATACCCTGGAACTTCCAGATAATTGTACCCTGAAACCTACAGTGAGATCCCACTCCAATAAAACTGTATGTTTACCCTGGAGGTTTGTCTTTTTGTTGTATAAACCATGTTTACGCAAAAATGCTTTACTTTGATCATATCATTAACTTATGAAAAGATTTCCTTAGATGATAGTGTTAGGTTCCTCATAAAGAAAATACATCCGTAATATTAGTCATATCCTTTTCTTACTATAATCAGCAATTAATCAGAGATTTAAATTTTGCTTTACAGAAAAAGTTAGCTGCTATGCCTGACCATACAGATGTTTCCCTAAGCCCAGAAGAGCGAGTCCGTGCCCTAAGCAAACTTGGTTGTAATATCACCATCAGTGAAGACATCACTCCACGACGTTACTTTAGGTCTGGAGTAGAGATGGAGAGGATGGCGTCTGTGTATTTGGAAGAAGGAAATTTGGAAAATGCCTTTGTTCTTTATAATAAATTTATAACGTAAGTTTTTTAAAGGCCTCCGAAGTGAGAAAATTGGAAAAATATTTACATAGTTATTTTGATGTGGCAGTTTGGGTATCAGTAATGTTTTGATATTCAGACCAATTGCACAGTCTCTAGGAGCTTTAAATGTTCAGGTTTTTAAATTACCAACTAATGTACTCACAGGCATCCCAACACCATCTCTGATGCTTAGGGTCAGGGAAGGCAGGAGGCTTCAAGGCCAGCACAATAATCTATTTAATACATGCTTCACTCTTCATAAATGTAATTTATTTTTTCATGCGATTTTCCCCAACAGAAACTGAAGCTTTATGAGAGCAGGAACTACAGTGTAGCTCCACTTAAAGCACCTAGAACATGTCATCAACATTAAAAAAATTTGATTTGGTGGTTTGAGTCTGGGGGACAAGTTGGGAGACACAGGAAAGATCTGATTCAGGTTCAGGGATAGGTTCAGGAAACTCATTCAAGTTTCATATAGCATTTATTATTTCTTTTTTAAAAACATTTTATTTGGCTATGAAGAGCACTATGTACAAAAGAGCTGTCAAAATGTTGAGTAAAAGTGGCTACATCAAAACAGCCATATCAAACTATCAAATTTCCTATTAGACAGATATTTGCTAGTGGCATATCCTAGTTGAAGAGTTAACAGAAGTGGGACTTGGACTTGCCTTACTATAAATCTGGTAACTTACTAGTTGAAAGGATGTCCTGTTATCAATAATTATATCTTCTAAGCTGAACCTTCTATTTTTTTATTTTAATTGAAAGTCACATGTCGATTACTTTTGCTAGCTTATTATTAATTTGATTTAAATTGACAAAAATTATATATATAGTGGGTGTGCAACATGTTTTGATACATATATGCTTATATTGTAGAATGACCAAGTCAAGCCAATTAACATATTTATTACCCCACAGACCTTTTACTGAGACAGGGCCTCCCTGTTGCACAGGCTGAGTGCAGCGGCACAATCATAGCTCGCTGCAGCCTCGACCTCCCAGGCTCAAGTGATCCTCCCACCTCAGCCTCCCAAGTAGCTGGGAGTACAGGCATGTGTCACCATGCTCGTCTAATCTTTTACTTTTGTAGAGACGGGATCTTACTATGTTGCCCAGGCTGATCTTCAGCTCCTGGATACAAGTGATCCTCCTGCTTTGGCCTCCCAAAGTCCTGGGATTATAGGGATGAGCTACTGTGCCAGACCCAAGCTGCATAATTATGCAATACATTGTTATTAACTATAATCATCATATACACTGGACCTCCTGAACTTATTCCTCCTGTCTAACTGAAGTTTTGTATCCTTTGACCAACATCTCACCCCTCATCCTCACCCACTGGAACTCTAATAGCCACCTTACTACTGTCTGCCCTGCTATAAATTCAACTATTTTAGATTCCTTCTACATTATAAGTGAGATCATGCAGTGTTTGTGTTTCTGTGCCTGGCTTATTTCACATATAATTTCACTAGCTTAGTCAGGGGCTTAGCCTGAGAACATTTAAGTTGAAAGATACAGTATTTTAAAAATTGCCTTCCATGGCTCAGCGCGGTGGCTCAAGCCTGTAATCCTAGCACTTTGGGAGGCCGAGATGGGCGGATCACAAGGTCAGGAGATCGAAACCATCCTGG